TGAAGGGCTCCGCGATTTCATCATGGGAGGAAAAACCGTCTCGACACGAGAACAGTTAACGTTCTCGATCACTCAGCGATTCTTTGATCGATCTCCCGCTGAATCCAAGCTCCGAATCCAAACAAAAATGGAACGAAATATACAGTTCCCCGTTGTCTCGCGTCAGGCCAGACGGTCCTGGTTTCAATTACGCGAGGGGGTTGGCGTGATGGATCGTTCGATAAGCCCCCGACGATCCCGTTCGTGATAGATCGAGGGGCAGCTTATCGAGCAACCACCGAAAACGGTTTTTCTGCCAGTGTCTTTCGTCCACTCTCGGAGATTCTGACGATTAATTTCGGATAATTACGTTCCTTCTACGATTATTCGGTCCTGTTCTCGATAAGAATCCCGAGATCTGACGTGCTGTTAATTGTTATCTCTCGCGAGATCCATGGTACGTGATGCAACCTCGTTTCTGAAAGCAGAAAATCGGATAGATTGTAGTTCACGGCGGCAGGTAAATACGAGTCGTATAATCGCCTGCTTGTGGTTATTTCGTGGGCGTACTTTCCGTGGAAGGTGAAATGGGATATTACTAATGAGCAGGTTCCGGTGTTGATTGTTTCTTCGTTCAGAGATCAGCCTACGTATTTAGGAGACATTGTACGGGGGATGAAACGGTATAGAAAACTTCTTTGGAAATATTATTCTCGTAATTACCTTCTTTTCGATAAGTACTGTTCCTCATTTTTTTCCTCTCACAGAAGATAACCAAAATCTCTATGGTACATCAGTACCGATTAATTGAGTCACGATTGTAATTACCCTGATTACTTTCAATGATCCATTAACAAAAGTAATCACACAAACAGTCAATTACTGCCCAACTCTGTAAGACACGGATCTCCACATCGCGTTCACGGCTGCAGGAGCGTGGCGTGCGCGATGGGAATCTGCCCGCGAAACGGAATAATAATAATTATCGTACCGCGGCGGCGATGCCGTTTCCGCGACGGTTTTGCAACACCAAACGCCAGCGTTTCAGTCTCGGCTCGAGAAAATCCACGCTGCTCGCCGTGTCCCTCCGAAACCCGCCGATAGAGCACCTGATTAATGGTGACCCAGCAATTTCGCCGAGCCGGCCACGGAACGACTCTCGGTATCACCTGAAACCGCTCGCGATTCACCCCCGCGATATCGCTGGGAACCGAGTTCGAGACGTCCGCGATAAGCCCACGGATATTTCGACTGGAACGAGGTCGTGTGTTCGGAGAGTTTCGGAAAATAGCGACGAATTCGGAGGAAAGGACGTTCAGTTGTTGTTCACGGAAACTTTGTTTTCTCGTTCCCGTGAAAGGCTTGATTCGCGAAAGTAAGAAGCGTAGGATTTTCGAGTCTTGAGTGAGTTTATTTCTCCGTGATTCACCAAAGACGTCAGATGGCGAGTAATTCCATTTTTCCGGTGTGGGAAGGTAGTAATTATAGTTCCGCGCAGAATCGCGCGGGAAACGCAGATTCTAGGAAGGTTCGAACGATTCGCGGGGCGTTAAGGGGAAACGAAGAGAAGCGTGACCAGCGGTTTCAGTTTAACAGAATAAACGCGAGGCTTGTTTCGCCTCCTTTCGAGAGATTTGTAAGACACCTTGCCTCCCCCCTTGCAGGTTGCCTGGCGTGGATTAATTTCCTGAAACAGGAGAAAGAAGGTTGGCGTGACCTGCACGCCAACCTCAATTTTTCGAGGCCCGATAAGCGTTTAAAGAGGTTTTCGCCTTGATCGCGATCTAACGTCGCGTGAACCCCGACTCTGTTCGCTGAACGAAACAGGCCGTCTTCGATGGTGAAAATTACCGTGGAAAATCTGTACGAACAGGTGAACACGATGTACGTTTGGTCGAATGTGTTTTACATTTGTATAATTGAGAGATAACGAATGGACTCTCGGTCCACCTGTTGCAGATCTTTTCTTTTTTTTAGGGGACTGTCGAATAGAAACAGGATAGAATAATATTTCAATATTTTGTTAATTACCACTATTTCTTTTTGTGTCAGAGGATTTTTCCTGTTAAATTAATTTATATTTTGTAATAATTATATCGTTTTTATCGCCGTTTAATGTGTAGTATCGTGGAAGAGTGGAAAATTCTTTCGGACTGAATAGTTGGAGGACTTTTTTTTCCTCCTTCGAGATGCAGATCGATGGAGCGACTCGATTCGATTCCCCTTACGCTTTCTACTCACGAGACTTGTAGGCATTACAGTGATTTCCCTGGCGAATTGCTGGGACGCGTGCAATTCGTCGTCTCGCGTTGTGAAAAATTGCGAAAGTTTGTTGGTATAGAGGAGACCTCTGTTCGGAGGGATTAATGTTAATAGATCCTCGAAATAATTAATTGTAGCCGATTATTGTACATAAAGTTTGACACGATTTTTGTTGTGGGAATAGTTGCTCGAAACCTTTAGATAATGATCGTTGACGTAAGCAAGTGTGTTTCGAAAGGGTTGAAAGGTCTAGGGTCGTTCTAGGATAGTCAAGGTTCGTTAAAGGGGCTGCTCATCGTTCGAAATTATTATCCAAAACGGATCATCTTCTCCCTATAGTATTTTATATCGATCGATGACTGTTGAGTTTGATTGCCGGGGAAAAATAATTACTAAAAATTTTTCCTCCAACTCAAGCATATCGAATGAGATTCCCTTTCGTTCTTCAAGAAGTTGAAGAAATATTCAAAGGTTCAAAAATTAAAATAGTCAAATTGATTCTCGTGATCGATACGATTCAGCGTGCTCAAAGTCGAAACGATATCGGTCAATTTGCAAAATCATAAAGGTGCGAATTACTTGAAAGGTTTCTCTTCTCCTGTCCCCGTCTCGACCTTCAATTAACCCACCACCCTCGTTAATTAAAGGAACGCCAAGGAATCGTACCTTCGATTATTCCAGAGCAATTTTCCCCCATCGATTCGATTACAGCACCGTCCAGACGAGTTACGACGTTCCTAGAGGAAACAACGTTCCTCCGGCCTGCTTTCCAACTTTCCACTCTCTCTGGTCTTTCGTTCGTCCAGGACGCCGTATTTGATTTGGCTTTAATACGATTTCTCCGCGGCGTCTACAGCCTTCACGACGCCAAACCTTGCCAGAAGTGTTCCTGGCATTCTGAAGGAACTCGATTATCCGTTGCGCGTCCCCTGGTCCTCTCTGGTTTCGCGAAATCCCGAGTATACTTTCTTCGAGAAAGTAACAGGAGCCAGTATAGATCCTGCAAAACGAAATGATTCGACGTAACTGAAAGTATTCTTCAGGAGGCTCTAGTCTGTCCTCGGTTTTGTGTGCAGGCTATCGTAGGATTTGCTTTCTTTTCCAAAACGTTGGACAGGGTTTTCGTTCGAGTCGACAGTTTAGGACAACAAAATAATGTCGTTCGAAAGAACTTTAATGGTGCAGTTTCTTCAAAGTTATCAAAAGCTGAATACTAGTTCCGATAGTTCGATATTCAAACGAGTATTTCGAGTCTTTCGCGTTCATTTTCTCGGTCGACGCACACGAAATCTGTACACAACGGACACGTAAGACACACACGCACACGCATCCAAAACACGATCATCCCCCCAGCCATTATGAAGCTCCTCCCACACCATTGTACTAACCCTCTCATACTATTTTTTTTTTATTTTCTTTATTATTTTTTTTTCTCTCTCGTACACGCACCTCTCGGTACAAGCAAGAGTCTTTTAATGATATGACGATGACCATGATGACATGACACGAAATGATATGATATGATAATGAGATGATTAATGTGACCATGACCATGATTTCTTACCATGATTTTATATTTACTTATTTGTTGCACGTTGTTTGGTGCGTCTCCGTAAGCAGTATGACGCGCTCGCAGACACCCGCCTGGCAGAACCGACATTTCCGACCCCCCTGAGGGTGGGGAGAAAACAAATCGTGCTTCTGAGACACAAACAGTAGTTGCCTTTTTTGTCGAGGCTCTCTCTGTCTCTCTCGGCCCTTCTATGCCTATCGACAACGTATTCCGCGGCAATAAAACGGTATAAATTCCCAAGAAATTCGCGAGAAACCGTGTCACGATTAATATCAGTAGCTGTTGCGCGTGAGTTTCTCTTCAAAATATCTTTCAATCTTCGTGCGTCTTCGTGGGAACAAAACGTAAAAAATCTCTTCGTCGTCGCGGCTTCGTTTCTTATTCCCGTTGAATATAATTCGGTTCATTGTTTCTAACCCTCAAAAAATTCGTCGAAAATGTTCGCTAGATTCCTGTTAAACCATCGCCGAAAAGAAGTCCCGCGCGCGGGACTTTTTCCGACCATCCTTCGTGGAATCATTGCGCGTCTCGAAAGAAGGATCTCGAGAATATTAATTAGCGCGGCCTCTCTCGCAGACGGGCATTGTGTACGTTCAAGAATTAAACGGAAGAATAGGTCTCGGGGGTTGAAAGGAAGGGGTAGGATAAAGGCTGCGCTATAATAAAAGGGGCGGGAAGAGTCGATAGAAAGAGGGGGCATCGCGCGAGTGATAGAGCGACCTAGGTCCGTTCGATCGCGAATCTTGAATGAAAAAGTGTTCGTATCGGGACGGGATCGATGGAAGGGCACGCAGAGATAATTCTTGCGTTAAATGCACATGGTGCACCCCGGGGTAAAACGCGTCGGTTGCTCTCCGGACCGTTTGGAAAGTCGCGATACCGACTCAAAACCCATTTTTCGCCGTGTGGGGATCTCATTCAGTCGCTCGTAGTTTCTTTCTCGTCTATACACTCCACCACCCCCCACTTTTTTTCTTTTCTTTCACTCGTGTATAGAGAACGTGCATAAAAGCAAGAGAAAACGAAACCACGAAGGGATGAGAAAAAAATAAAAAGAGAGAGCGCACGACGGACACACGAACGCGCGAAATGTCGGGTTGGCCAGACGGGGGCCCCGTTTGCCGAGCGCTGGCAGAGTCTGTAAGTTGAGTTTAATGCATGTTGTTTTGTCTGTCCTTGCATGCAGGGATTCGGTTTTGTAACATTCGCAAATAGTGCTGACGCGGACCGGGCACGTGAGAGGCTACACGGCACCGTGGTTGAGGGCAGAAAGATTGAGGTGTGCATGAACATTCTTATACTTATATATATATATACATACATATATATATGTATACATTCGCCATTAATTCATTTATATACACGGTATATATATATGTACTTTCTTTACAGGGAAAACAGCAAACGCGCGAAAGCCGCGCGAGCGGCACGCGACGCTGTCGCCCGCTGCTTTCGCGCGCTCGATCAACAGGCGACCAGGCAATTGCTCTCCCGTAAACGATTTTTCTTCTTTTCTCTCCACAAATTTCTTCAACCTTGAGAATAATCCACGAATTCAATTTAACAACGTTACAAAGGGAGCACACACGCTGGTCGCCTATTTCAGATTAATCTATTAGATTTAAGCGTAGCGATCGATCGCCCTCGTGCAATCTGTTATTTACTTTTTACCGCCTTGACGATGAATCGCGTGGATTGTTAAATCTGTTAGAACGTAAAAGAAAAGAAGATTTCACGAGCGCGAGTCGAACGTTTGTAGTTTGTAAAACGACGGAACGGTTTCTGATCGATCGCTCGACGAGACGAGGACTGGTCTCCTCTCTGTTCTCGTGCAACAATCGAATAATAGATTCGATGATAAGAATCGATTTGATGCCAGGAGCAGGAGGAGCTGAGTTCTCGAATTTTGGCGGTGCCCAGGGTCCTTCATAGGAGCGCGTCGAATTACTTCAGCGGGTATATATGTATAATGAAGAACGAGAGATAATTGCTGGCTGGAGAGAGAAGAGGACGTTTGGATCTCGCGTATACATATAGCGGGTCAATCTGGCACGGACCACTCGAGATCTTCGAGTGCTGTCGGCCGATTGGTATTCGCCGATCGCTCATGGAGCCACGGAATAGATCCTTGGTTCTTCGAGTGCATACAGGGTTTTCATGTTATTATTAGCCAGCGTCTTTTCTAGCAGATAGTAAGTATTACAAAAAAAATGTGATATAAGTTTTGCAGTTTTCAACTTTTTATATTCGGAATATTTGTCGAAAAATGTAGGTGGCATTGAAATATTTTAAGTGGAACCCTGTATATTTCTTTCATGTCACACGAAAGTGTGTATCAAGATTCATGTATGTGCTATACAATAACCTTCAAGGTCACATGACATAATTAAAAGTGAAAAAAATGTTGCGAAGTCAAAAGTTAATTTGTTACACGCTATTGAAGTTAGTCATTGAAAACTGCAAAATTTTGTCATTGTTCTCAAGTACTTACTATTTGCGAGAAAAAACGTTGACTAGTACTGTAACACTCTGTATACTGTTGATTGTAAATTCAAAATTATTACACGATTCTCCAGCTTGTAATTCGAAACAGATCGCGCCGTGTCCGGTGTGTATATACATTGATGGACGAATGGCTCCGCCAGAATTAACCGTGAAGCGTCAGCTCGTGGCAATGGCGTACCGGAAAATCGCATTAAAATTTCCCTCGGAATGGAGCACAGTTAAAGGACGTTAGGACAGTTAAGGACTCGACAGTCCTCTGTCTCTAATGTGTACGAGTAGAATAAAGTTTGCGTTCCCATTGGGAATTTAATTCACTAGATAGAGATCGGTCTTGAAACCGACTTCCTTTCATGAAAATTCGATTCTTCCTTTGAAAATTTGATTTTTTCGTCGACAAATTCGATCGTACGCGCTCCCGATCGAGGTTATGGATCACCATCAGCCCATTGTCACGAGGCGTCGCGACGCAGTGCGAAGCGCGAGCAGATCCGAGACGTGATGCCGCGGCACCGACGCAGACATCCCGTTGATTACGCTTCGAATCGAATTAACCCTCCCCCTCCGGGAAGGGTTGACGCCGCGAAGATGTCCGTGTGGGTGGCGCGAGCGACACACGGCCAGACAGACCGACGGAAGTTGAAGGGGTGGACGCGCTCGAAGCTAAAAACGATGGAGAAAGAAACGTCATTGTAAATAATAACGAGACTCGCTTAAGACGATGTGAAACAAGACGAAAAAAAAAAAATAGAATGCAGACATTAATACGAGCGAGACAAAGAAATGATCGTGCACGAAGTACATACACATATGTACACACACGTGCGCGAGAGAAAGAGAGACGATGGCGAACGAACCATCGCCGATTGGCCAGGCGAACAAACTCATCGCTGGCGGATGACGACGTTTACGTAATATTATATACACAAAATACCATGAATTAAACGATTTTTTACATTATTGATACATCATTCAAATGAAAGCAAAATCGAACAGAGATTACGATGACGGTTGAAATGTGTTTAACCATGATGGAAAGTGTCTGACGCGAGGTCTCTCTTGTTGTCCCATTATAGATTCCGAGAGACGCGCGCGCGTGGGGGCTATGAGACACGAAAACTCTGTATAGAGATCGATAGAAAACGATGTGAACCGAGAGACATATAATATATACATATATATATATTGAGAGAGCGAGCGAGAGAGCAATGACACGATTGTCGATCGTGAATGAGATGTAGATTGAGAGAAAGATTGAGAAATTAACCGTACGCTCTGGGGGACACTGAGGAGGCCATGTCGAATTACCGATCTCCCGAAGTGTCCGTAACAGGTAAGGAAATAATACGCGCCGCACGAGGATCCGTCCCGAGAGGACGTACATAATATACGACGAGAATTACAATAATCGCCTCGCACTGCCCGCTCTCTCACCCGGTCTACACGGGGGATATTCGCACGACCGACATATCACACACGAAACGCTTTTTTTTTTCTTCCCTCTTTACAGTAACGGTCTCCACCCGCCGACCGATCATTGGACGAGCGAATGGTTTCGTTTTCACTTTTCGAAATGATTAGTAATGTTCTCGATAAAACGTACGTTTTTGAAAGAGAATTTCTATATTTTTTTCATACCATTTTCTGGCTGTACAATGAAACGAAACATATCTTGCTGGATTTTACAATTAAAATGATGTACTATAGTACAAAGAAATTGGTCTAGTTTTAATTAAAATATAAATAAGTGTTCTTCAAGGTACTGTGAAGTTTGGATATTTTTAAAATCGGAAAAGGGAAAATCGATGATGTATGTGTTAAAAATATTTCCATCAAAAATATATGAACGAGTGCACACAAAACTTATTTTCAATGTAATTTAATACATTTTTGCATTGCATATATCTAGACTCGATTCATTTAAAACATCTTATAAGAAAGTCATTGTTAAAAGAAAAAAGTATTTCCGAATATTCGAAAACTTCACACAAGAATACCGATAAAACTCTATCAAACCATTCCACCGTACACACACACACATACGAAAGTGTTCGTTCGTCCAAGCAGAAACGATCTTTCGATCAGTTCCAATTTCGTCAGTCTCCCGTGCACGCAGTCGGCAGCGTTCCGCGCGCGTATTTTCGCGGGTTGCTGTCGTCTCAAAGCGGGAACCGATAAAACAAACGTAGTACGTTTCGCAGCTGGCTGGCTCGAATACACAGCTTTCGAAACCACGAAACCAGCCCCCTCGATCGTCCGGAGGCAATTTGAAATTTTCTGGAACGACGTACGGATAGGGTGGCTGAAAATCGCCCTCCATAACGCTCGTACTCGCGCGTCAAATTGAAATTAACGGACTTTAACGCCCATTGGTCACAGGGTTTACGCCCTGAACTCCTCTCGACCGGCTCCGTACTTCTGTCGCGACGTAATCAGAAATCTATGAGAGTAATCGAGAATCTATGAGGGGAAACCAACGGCGTAATTCTTGGGAAATGAGACGAATGAACCCCCCTGGAGAAATTGTCTGCCACCTATGTGAACTTTAACGGAAAACGTAAACACTTTTATGCCCGGGTCTGGGTTCACACTTAACCCTTAAGGCACCTTTCTGTTTTACCTGAATAAAAGGTGAGCAGGAAATTAATGAACGGAACCGAGCCGTGAATTTCCGTGAGATATCAAACATTCAACAGCTGAGTTTCGACTTCATAGAGTTCTAAAAAGTGATCTCGCGAGTCGTCACTCTGAGAAGTCGAAGACGAAAACGAGGCTCGAATGTCGCGATTAAAGTGGGATCGGAACGACCATGATATCCCCTTTCCGCGTAGCTTTTTAATTACCGGAAGAATTAAGGAGATTTCAAATTAGGAGCAACGACTTTTTCACTCCCCACCACCCCAGGGTGCTTTAATCCCACTGGCATCCTATATATCGACGCGCGTCACTTTGAAAAATCGCGACTGGATTTTTATTCCAAAAATTCGAATTTTTCCCTTTACCCGTAAAACAGTATGTCTCTGGTTGATTACGTGTTTCGTTGTTACGCAAACGCTTTCCATTTAACTTCTTCCTCGTCATCCCTGTTTCTCGGTTGATTCGATTAATCTGCATTCCAGCCTGTATCGACGCAATGCCAAGCACCCTGGGTCTCTATCATTTGTCACGAGGTGTCGGGATCGCATGCTCTTAGGACGCTTTTAGATCTCCCCTCATCGCTTATTCATTCGGCTCGTTTCAACTACGATCCATTTTCCATCTGGGTTTCTCCTTTTCGAATCACTCAACATTGGTCCAATCTCGATGAAAACAAAAAAAAAACTCAAATATATTCCAAGTTTGTATTATAAAAAAGTACACCAAGAGTGTTTCGTCACTTCGATAAAGAACCCCGAGCAGCTCAGCGTCGAATGAAACTGGAAAATGGACCCAAGTACCTATCGTCGAAAATGCTTCTAGCTGTCAAAGCAGCGACAAGGAAAGCTAGTCTGATCCAGACCGATCGAAAGAACGCTTATCGGGGGCAAAATTGCAGCGCTAACGAGGCCGAAAGGGCTACGATGAGCGAAGAGTATCGGGGTCTCTCGCTAACTACTATCGGCGGTTAAACCAGCTTAAACTTCCCGCGGACCTGTCAACAGGGGAGGGGGAAACGCGGACACGACGGCACCCCCCATTATCTTAACGAACGTCCTTTGTAGCCGCCGTCGAGCATTGTGTTCGACTCGTTACGAAGCCAGGGGAACCAGTAGAATTGGTCCTCCAACCGTTGTGATC